GATTCCCATAATGCTAGATCACAGACTGGTTATGTTTTTTCTTTGTGGTGGTACTGCAATCTCTTGGAAGTCGGTCAAGCAGTCCATGGTTACTACATCTTCAAACCATTCAGAAATAATTGCTTTATACGAGACTTCACGCGAATGTGTATGGTTAAGATCTTTAATCCAACATATTCGTGGATCATGTGGAATGACAAATGTAGCTTGTGTTTTACAAATGAGTAGTGGGTATGTCAAAGGAAGCATGACAAAACACATTGCTCCAAAATTCTTTTATCCACACGAGCTCCAGAAGAGCGGTGAGATCATTGTACAAAAGGTAAGGTCTAGCGAGAACTTGGCAGACCTATTCACCAAATCCCTTCCTACATCTACTTTTGAAAAATACATTTATAATATTGGTATGCATAAACTGGGAAGACTATTGTCTTCAGGGAAAGGAAAAAACTCAAAATAATCATGAAGATTAGGTCCTGAAGACCAAATGCTGTACTCTTTTTCCCTTTAACTAAGTTTTTCCCAATGGGTTTATTAGGTAAAGGTTTTTAACGAGGCAGCTAGTAAAACACATGAATTTTTATAAATCATGTACTCTTTTTCCCTTGCCTAATTTTTTTTTTCCCATGTTGGGTTTTTAATTGCAAGGTTTTTAATGAGACATGTAGTAATGTCCAAGAGGGAGTGTTATAAATATATTAATATGGACATTACTAATATATAATTGGGCCTGAAGTCCATTAGTTAGTAGCATTAGGTTTGAGGGTTTTCTCCTTTGTAAACTCTATAAAAGAGTGAATACCGATGAATAAAAGATAGACTTTTCTTCTTCTCTTTTCTTGTTCTCTTTACTGCATATTTTACATATTTGGTTGATTGTTGGATGCTTGGTGAACATTGAGGACTCCAATTTACAACATTATTGATATTATATAATGATATTGATAATATTGAAGATAGTGGAGTGTAATTAGAGTTGAATTAGATTTTGAGTGTAGAATGAGTATGGATTAAGTTATTTTATGTACAAACACAATACACAGTCTTTTGGAGAAATTTTAAGTACGCCACGTGATTTTAAGTTAATTGCAACTCTACAATACAAGTAGAAATAATTGTGTCTCTACCTAAAAGACATTATTTATCTATATTAGTACCTAAAGTTAGTTACCATATCATTTCAACCTTCATCACCCTTTTTATGCGCTTGATTAAGAGAGAAAAGTGAAAACATTACATAATAAATAAATGACTCCTTTTAATTCCTTAATCGCGCAGCTTGTATGGTTTTAATAGAGAGAGTAAAACATGTATTGTAATTCACTCAGCTATCAGGTGGCAGTGGGTATATATTGCGTTTATGTTAGTTTATATTTGGTATATGTTGCAATGAAAAA